AAGGTCTTTGTTCGATTTCTTGATATTTATGATTACTGCTACTGCTAGGTAGTAGTATGATGATATATAGCCTATAGCCTCCTCAATAAACGGGCTATCTAATGCAAAAAGATTTTTTCAAATCAGATTAGTAGTTCATACAAACAAAGAAACAAACAAACTCTGTTTTCTTATAATATTAGTATAGATTACACGATTATGCTTTAGAATAACATGCAACTGCACACGGATATCTCCTTATTGTACATTTAAAATACCACTGAATACAGATTGTGGTTAGGTTGGTCAATTAAGAAATACAACTGCTACAAGAATCACAAGAATCACTTTATTTATATTGACGACACGTTTAGCTCAGTTTGTAGTGACCCTACTTGCTGTGCCGGCGGTCGCGGGTTCGAGTCTCACCGGGGACATTCATTTGTGTGATGAGCACGAATGTTTGTACTCCGATATACCTACCTATATATGTGTAGTGTATCAATTATCTGGTATCCATAACACAAGCCCCGTAGCTTACCGTGGAGCTATATGGTGGTGTGTGTTAATGTCCTAACATATTAATTTATTTATTTATTGAGGCATTATTGAAAGTACACAGGTATTATATCATACTAGCGACCTTAGTATAATACTAGCGACTCACCCTCGCTTCGCTCTAGTTCGTCCCTAGCTTGCTTCTCAATACCAACTTTCATTACCATTTTCACCCCCTTAAGGGATGATTTCCGAGATAAAAAGTATCCTATGTCCATCCCCGGGTCTCAAACTATCTTCTTACCAAATTTCATCTAAATTGGTTTCGTAGATCCAGAGATTACCCCCTACAACGTCACAAACACATTTTACCTCTACAATTTTAGTATAGTTTTTATATAGTAAAGTTAAATATAACTTTGAAATAAATAGTAGTTACTTCACTTTAATACATACATATATTGGAATCACGCATGAATAAAATAGAAAACGCTCTAATTCTGATAGCTCATGGTAATAAGACGAAAGTTGTTAATTTATTTCTCAAAGCACGTAATACTGTTTATCTTTCTACGTAACTGACAATGGCACTTTTATTCCTTCCTTCGATTAGCAAATGTTAGATCTATTTTATTCACTTATGTTGTTATTACATTTGCTTATATCAATTTCTTGTAAAATATTTTAAAAACGTAAAAGGCCTTTTACTCTTGGCATGAAAAAACCACCTGTTACTTTCACCCTTATCCTGTTTCCGCTAGAGAAAGTTTTTTTTTAATCGTTTAAGCCGAAATTTACACGACTTCTAAAATATGAGGTACTGAATTAGGTTATACGCATTTTTTTATGTATTTTTTGTGCACGATACATATTACACGATATCTTCACCTATTGTTAATTTTTTTCGTTATTTTTTTTTACCTTTAGGGTACAATCTATATGGCACCGACTTCGAAAATATCTGATTATGTATCTATTAAAAATGAAAACCTCCGTTCAGTTATTTTTTACATTTTAGTGCCTGGAAGTCGGTTCCTATTTTGTTTTAAAAAGGTTTTATTTTTCCATTTTTAGTGTAGACGTAATAAGCAGGTAATTTGTAAGAAGAAAGTTTTTTAATAACATATTCGATTAAACAATTTATTTAAAAAATATATTTATTGTTGCTTTTTTTTAAAACCTATATAAAAAAGACCAGCATTGCCCGCGGCTCCGCCTGCGCTCAGATGACCAAAACCAAATTTTTAGGTTTTACATGTTAGTATACTCTTACATTGCAGTTTTTGTATTTTTTCTCAGAGATGAGATATTTTCCCGCTGTAAAAAGTATCCTATATGTTCAAATTTCATCAAAATCCCACCAGTGGTTTTTCTGTGATTCGGTAACAGACAAACAGACAGACACATTCTAAAAACAATAGATTCGGCTTCTGTATCGATAATAATTTTTATTTCAATAAGATTTTCCAAAAAATATTTAATGTACAGATTCGGCTTAGTTACAATTTTATTATATGTATAGATTTCTTATAGATATTCTGTTTAATATACTTATGTATTTATTTTTAAAATGCACTACTTTATTCAAAGGAGTGTGTTGTTTATTTGTAACGTAATATTTTATTTTCATATATAAAAAAAAATATAAATACGTTTAAATTTACCTACATACTCGTTTAATTGATATTGAATTAAACCTTCCGCAAAAGTCGTCAATATCATGAGCTTGATCGCAATACTTTTATATTTGGTCTTATACGAGAAAGAATTTGTGACCTACTTTTGAACATAACCTTACTACAAAAAGAAACATTTTAGATATATTTTATTTTGCTATAAACGTCATTGGCCAATCAAAACTAAATTAATATAAGGGTTTTTATATTCAAATGAATGTTAGTATAAGTCAATAGAAAAGTGTTTCCAATCAATAAATAAATTGTAAAGTCGATCATTGTAGAGTTTATTTTGAACATTTGAAATAAAAGCGTGGTTGTAAAAAGATAGCGAATTTGCACTGCTCTCTACATTTTTCATATCAATGACTCACGCCAATCCTCAGCAAAAAGTAAAATATTATTTTATAATATTAAATGAGCAATACTTGTCCATACTGTGAAAGTGTGTTTGTTTGTTTGTTTGTTTGTTTGTTTGTTCTTTATTCACGTCAAACAAAGTGACGGATTAGCGAGATTTTTTCTGTGGAGATTTTTTTACCGCGGGAGATTACCTCATTCTTACATTAAAACACATTATAATACAACCCACAACAACTCATCATACCTATAAATCTATACGTATATAATACATAGTCTATCTATTCCATACTAACCGTTGAAACGCACCTAGAGGGACGAACCCAAGCGAAGCGAGGGCGAGTCGCTAGTATATATTTCGGAAATGGCTCTAACGATTTGGATCAACTTTTGTATTTAGATAAGGTTTTGCCTCTTAATTTTATTTATATAAGTGTCTTTTCTGAAGAAAAAAACGCAAATTTCATATCTTTTCCCAAAAAAATACGGTTTTACGGGAAAAAAACTACTTATAATTGATATAATTACCAAATGAATACGTGAAACTTTATGTACCTAGATTATACAATATCAAAGATTAAACAACATTAAATCATTTCGACTATCTGTTTGTAACCAAAAAAATGACAGAAATAATATATTATGAATCTGGCATAACACGGTTATAAAATATAATTTTCACAAGGCTCGCGAAGTTTAATCTTTCACTCGCGGTGTTCTATCAAAAATATACTAAGTCAGTTTCGTAAAAATGATTGAAAAAGAAAACATACCCTAACCGATTTTAATTAAAATTTAACCGGTGGAGTGGGTGGGTTGTTATTTCAATTTCCGGTTGTAAAAAGTTACTCTTTGACGTACAAGGTTCTTAAGACATGAGTGAAAGAGAGTCGCTAATTAATTTAAACACAATATAACACGAGCAATGTCATACGAAACAAGTTCAATAAAATAAAATTAAATAAAATATATTTTGAGTTTTGCTTAAAAAGAATGAGTTGAAGCTTAAAAAAATGTAATTAGAATTTTATTAAAAGCCATATGTTGAACATACTATAACTCGTTAAATACCTTATTTATTAGGACTTAATGGACACAAGGTAATTTAAAAAAGTAATGTTTTAGAATCGTCTTCTTTAACAGAAAACTTAAGAATGTATGGAAATAAGATAATATAAAATAATTTTGAATGATTTCAGCCACAGTTGCCAGTGCCACTAAGACTAGCCATCTGCGTAGTATATATTATAGTGCATAAGTGTGTGCGTAAATACAAATCTCTCTATTATTTTTATTCTGAAAGTCCGATGAGATGATAAATCGGCACGGCCAGATAGAAATGTTCCGAGATACAGACGAATAACACCATCGTCTTACGAGCTAAGGGTAGTTATTGATAATTGGTAGACAGATAAACACAATAACAGCTATTTTAGGCTTAACCAAGACGCGAGCCCAGGATCTTCGAATCTGCAGCCGTACACGCTAGCCCCTAGACCAATGAGGCAGTTTCATGTTTAAGTAATTTGGTCATACGATGACGATAATTATATATTTTCTCAAATATTCATTAGTTCTTTAATATATGATTAATTAACTACATCAAATATATGAATGTAGAAATCAACTTATCTACGAGTGCATCAAAAAATACTGCCTTATTTTTAAGCACCTTCTGTTTTCTAAATTTCATATTTTACACTATTTTAAATTTTATATATTTATTTTCATGTAATAAAGCAATTATCAATAGAACTGTACTTTAAAGTTTAATTTATTCCCTGTTCTATACTCATAAGTGTATAAATGTATGGTTCTTAAACCAATTCTTAGCCAGTTTAGCGCCGTTGTAAAGAATAGTGCGGATAAGATAAACATATATTGATTTAGATTTCTTAGAACTTGAATATTTTTTATATACAATATCAAATTCAGTCAAGTAATATTATTCAATAATAGCAGCCTTAACGTGTGCGTTTATGATAAAAAAGCGTTATGATACAGAATTCCAAGTTAATATTCTTTATTAAATAAAACTGTCTTTTCGGATTATTTCGCGGATTTATTTTGATTTTTGTTCCCGACAAATAAATCCACAATCCGAAAAGATAGTTTTATTTAATAATGTCAAACATTCGTGTAAATCTAAGAAAGTATTAATATTCTTTGTTATGATGTTACAACTTATGTCTTATTTCGCTTACGTACATTGAAATTATTATATGTTTTATTTTTCTTCATAAAAAAATGATAATAATAAATGTTATGTCCACTTTATTCTTACTATCTAGATTATTGCGGGCAGCGCCCATTATACATACTCACATAGTTTTGTGCGGCTACGACACCGCAGGCGGGACCTTAGGTCTACCTATAGGGCACAGTATTAATACAGCCTCTATATAAACGCCAGTTATCTCAGATTTAGGCACACATCAAATCCTAGTGCTTAGGGAACTAACGTCCTAATAGTGATAACTAGAGAAAATGTTCGCCAAGGTATAAGTTATATTTTAGCTGTTTTCTAAAAGCTTTTACTGAAATAAGTTTTAAAATAAAAGTTGCATTATATTTAAATAAACAATAGTATATGCATTTTCATTTAAATGTTTACAGGTAATTGTCGCGTGCGCGCTTTTGGTGGTAGCCCAAGGTGGACTCATCGCTAGTCCTCATGGCGCTATTTCCTCTCAAAGCATAGTTCTTGGACATCCAGCACCTGCTATTACTGCACACGCCGTCGCCCCTGCACTGGCCGCGCCTGCTTATGGAGCTTATGGAGCTTATGGATTGGGACTAGGTACAGTAAGATCGTTTGTTTGACACAAACTAAAATAAGTATTAAGTATATTTATAATTGTTATCGCAATTAATTTTGTAATTTCTTTTGAAAAATACGGGACCGAGTAGAAACGACTTATTAAGTCTTATTAAATAGGTTATTAGGGAAAACTATAAATATTTTTAGTAAATGACATGTATAGATTTTAGTTTAATACAATTTTTGATTTAGTGATAGCGATTCTTAATTTTATTGAAGATCTTACGTAAGCTGTATGTATGTAATTCTCAAAATTTTGTACTATAAATTTATATGTTAGCCAAAATTTTTGTTTAAATTAGTTTCATGTGTATGACACATACAACTTAAGTAATAAGAAATATTTTTATTACTTCATCAAATATTTGAATTTCCGATTTAACAAATAGTTTCGAAGTATTTTAAAAATAGTATAGAATTTCTTTTTTAAATACTTTTTTATGGTATACAGGTCACGGCGCTATCGTCTCCCACGCACCCGTGCTGCATGCGCCTGTGGCCCACGCCGTTGCCCCTGTTGAGGTTTATGTAAGTATATTACTTATTAGTTGCCCAAGTACTCTATATTAAAATTAGTATTATATTTAATATTCATATTAATATAGAGTACTTGGGCAACCAAGTTTCGCTCGACGTTTTTTTATGTTTTTTGGGTTTTTGTTTGTGTTTATACAGATAAACTGAGAAAGCAAAACGTTATCAAAATAAAAAAAAATGATCAAAATCATTACAGCTGTTTCCGAGATACACGAAATAAATCTATAACAAAAATTGCTCGTTTAATATAAGAAGATTATTAAACGAGCAAGGGAAACATTACACAATACACATGTTAAGTGCTAATAGGCCATTTTATGTGATTTACAAGATCTAGGTCAGTTTTATTTAGATTTTGAAATTGTTCTTTAAACATAGGACATTTTGATCGAATATATTAATTAGTATTAAATTCATAAACATTTTATCAGAATAACTCTTTTAATTCAATTACTGACAGAATATCTTCCGTTTTCTTTCTTTCAATGTATTTATGAATATTTATTTGGCAAGTTCCGTATCTTAAACGGCTTAAAACATTCAATAGAAAAAGTAAATGTGTTCGGGAAGTGACATAGAGCATAGAATTAAGTATGGCGCCTGAGACGTCGGAAATGGAAATTGGAGTGGAAAATTGTTTTTTTTTACGACTATAATATGAATATTAGCTATAAGCTAAAAAATAACCATTTAAAAAATATATAGTAATAATATTAAATATGTTCTTGTTATCACTTTTATGTATTTTGATTTAAAATACAATTTACATTAATATCTAGCTATCAATGATGTTGTGTTTAATTTTTCTATATTATTATTAGCGTGTTGCTTAAAATTAAGTATTGTTATAGTCCCACCCCCGCTACCAATTTAACTATGGAGTTTCTGACGGCCACACCGGAGACCAAAAGAGCCAATGGGAAGCACGTGATGGTGACGTGGTAAAGGGACAGTACTCCCTTGTCGAAGCTGATGGCACCGTCCGTACTGTCAACTACTCTGCTGATGACCACAATGGGTATGATTTTATAAGTTTATACTATATCCATACTAATATTATAAATGTGTTTGTTTGTTTGTTTGTCTTTCACGTCGAAACGGCTTGACAAATTGGCGTAATTTTTTGTGTGGAGATAGTTGGATGGCTGGAGAGTGACAAAGGCTACTTTTTACCGCGGGAGATTATCTAATTCCCACAGGAAATCACGCTATAATACAATCCAAAAAAATATTTATGATCAGAATTAATTCAAACTTGTTATTAATACTGTTCAATAAAATGAAATAAATACATGTTTTAGCATTTTTCGAAATTCATCCTATAAGAGGGTGTAAAAGGGGATGAAAGTTTGTATGAAACTACCTTTTTAAAGATTTTTCATACTTTTAGCGCGTAGCTGCGGTTTCTGCTAGTATATATATATATATATAAGTCGAGTTGGTTACAACACTTATAACTCGAGAAATGCTAGACCGATTTTCATGGTTTTTGATTTGTTAGATTTGTCACCGCCCCGAATAGCAGAATAACTATTAAAACATCAGAAAAATTGACGAAAAAAATGTATATGGCTAACGCTGGCTAATAGCTTTTTATATCTATTTAAAACGTATCTAGGGACGAACCCGAGCGAAGCGAGGGTGAGCCGCTAGTTCAAATATAAATTCACGCATTAATAGGGCTTTATAATGTACCATCCCCATTATGGAACTATTGTATTAAATGGGAATAAAACTTATTACTAAATGTCTCACTGTGCGCAAAAAGTAAAGCAATTTTTTACAGTACTTACCACGACTATATTAAAATAGTATAAAAATTGTTTTCTTAAAAAAGTAATATCAAATTGTATTAACTAAATTGTTTCAGAGAAATAGAATTAGTACTATACGGATTTAAGCACAATTTAGCATGAGTTATTTTAATAATTATGCAATATTTAATTTACTTTAATTCTAGGAATAAAAGTTAAAGAAAATAATACAAAGTTTAATTTACTTACTCTATTAACAGTTAGCGACTATTATACTATAACAATAATATTGATAATTCGCTGTTCATTTTTCAGTTTCAACGCTGTAGTAAGCAGACACGGGCACGCGGCGCATCCCGCCACCGCTGCAGTCGCTCACGCCCCTATCGCTGTCGCCGCACATCTCGGACACGGTTCTCTTCTCCACGGCTAAAATCCTGACAACGACATATTTATTGCCTATATTTACTTAGAATAAGACAGAATGCGACAATGTAACTCGAATGCTTCGTGGTAATGGTACAACGGATGGTCCGCTTAGAGGCACAGCGTTTCATAAGGTGTATCCGACATGGGACGACGGCCCAAGACTTCACAACCAGTACCTCCTTATAGGTGCTAACTTTTGTATTATAATTTCTTTTAGTTTGTAAGTCTTTCACCGTTTTCTAACTTAGTTAAGGGTATACATTTTATGAAACGTTAGACAATGCCTAAGGGGTGCTTGGCGAAGGCTCCAGTTTTGCTTATTATGTAATATACTTTTTTCATATACTCCCTGTGTTTCATTTAATTTATTTAGTTATGCAAATGTTGCACCAATATTTAAAATATCCTTATGGTTTTAAAACAACACATTCTCCAAACGAGTTTTTTACCCTACTTATTACCGAATGTAATTACTCACAACTTATTAACCAGCTTGTCAATCCAAAACGAGATCTTAAGAAAGAATATAAAAAGCTTCCACTGAATGAAATTATTATCATTCACCTGCGAAGTTCACAATCATATACAGCCACAATGATCTCTAAAGTAAATATTTTATACAATTTATTCGAACTATATTTTTTTTTAAATTCTAATTAATTCAAATTCTAATATTTTGATCTTTTCAAATTTTATTTTAACTTTTAAATTTCTTTAATAATTAAATAATCTAGAAATTTTATTTATATATCTTAACATATGTTTTTTTTCAGATAATTTTATTAACAACTGCGCTCTTAGCAGTAAATGCTCAACACGATTCACACGGACACGCTACATCTTCGCAATCCTTTATTAGGCACGAGGGCTCACATAACCAACATGGATATGGGCACGAACAACCCATTGCTTATCAGTCAGCGTACCATCATCCTATCGCAGTTCAGCATGCTCCTGTCCATGGATCAGTAACAATTCAACACGTTGCTCCTGCATACCACTCAGAACCTACTGTGCATCATATACAACCAATCGTACATCACGCTCCTACCGTCCATCAAGCTGTGCCAGTTCCAATCGTCCATCACGCTGCTCCTGCCATTCAACACATTTCTCCTATCGTACACCACGCTGCCCCCATTCAACATTCTAGCAACTACCACAATGAAGGACAGTCCGGTCATGGACATGAAGAGTACCACGTAAGAAACTCGTTTGAAACTTTATAAAATTATAATTTTCTTTATTAACTTTTACATTTTTGTCTAATAAATATATTTTTATTTCTACAGTCACACCCTAAGTACGAGTTCCAATACAGCGTAGAAGATCACCATACTGGAGATATCAAGTCCCAGCAAGAAGCCCGTGACGGCGACCACGTGACCGGCTACTACAGTCTACATGAGCCTGATGGTTCAGTGCGCACTGTACACTACAATGCTGACCACCACAACGGGTAATAATCATTTATTGTATTGTATATGGTTTCTGTTCGAGTTGAGAGAATTAACTTTTTTCTGGAAGCAAGTAATAAAATACTTTGGGGTTTTACCGTTGTACTCACTATCTTGTAAGAATGAATTTTATATAAGTTTTATATCTTTCAGATTCAACGCTGAAGTACACAACTCCGGGCCATCAGCCCACGTACAGCCTGCACATCATAGCAAACCTCATTATACTCTTTCTCATCATTAATAGATATGATTTAATATTAAGAGTATGCTTTACTAATGAATGTGTAATGTCATAAAATATATAAGTAACTGTAACAAAATATTAAATAAAATTTAATGAAAAACACTTTACTCTTTTAATTATATTTATATAAATATAACTTCTAATCTATTGCGTTCAGTTCCATTTATAAGCAACGTTGTACAGTTTTATAGACTTCTTCTTATTAGCTCATAAACATTATTATAAAACTTCTCTAAATTACATTAAAATTTAAAAATGTAAACTGAATTATAATAAAATTGCATTTTTTAAATACAAAAAACTGAAAGAAATATTTATGAGCAAATCTATAACATAACTCAACAAAGAACACAAGCATAAGCAATAAAATAAATTTTAATTAAAGTGAGTCGTATTTTTAACAATAATAAGTTAAATTCAAGTAAAGAGGACGAATATGCTACGATGCACCGTTACGTAAAGTCAATCTTACCAAAACTTAAAATTAAGTAAATAATAGTAATAACAAGTAATGTAATGAAAGGGTTACTTAAATAAATGTTTAGTTCTTTTTTTATAACAATTAACAAAAAAAAAATCATTTATTCTTTTTAACTTTTTAGTATTTATGATATTGAATAACTAATATGGTAATTTCTATCTAAATTACATATGTTTTATTAATATAACAAAAAAAAATATTTTTGAGAACTTTTTTTATTTATTTAATCATAACAACAAGGAGGAGACGTACTCCATAGATATAATTATGCTTGCTCAATTAATTTTAAGTGATTAGTTTTAACGGTTAGATAGACTATATATTATACATATATATAAAGAGTTGTTGTGAGTTGTATTATAACGTGTTTTCCCGTGGGAATGAGATAATCTTCCGCTGTAAGAAAACCTATGTTACTCTCTAACACTCAAACTATCACGAAACCAATATTTGTAAAAATCACGCCAATCCGTCACTCTGTTTTGAAATGAAAGAAGGACAAACAAACACACTTTCAGATTTATAATATTAAAAACTATAGATAATAGCTAGTCGATCAACTTAATCATCAGACACTAGAACCAGAGTCCTAGTCAAAATATATCAGACTAGCGGCTCACCCTCGCCTCTAGAAAAACACTAATGAGAGATCTATTGGTTGCCACGGGAACCGTTCATTTTTCCGGGATGAATAGTAACCTGTTGTTTGACCAGCAATATAAGGTATCAGCATACTAAATACTAAATTAGGTGCATAAGTTGTTGTTTACTAAGCTGTATAAGATACTATAGTTTTTTAACTATCCCACGGGAACTTTTTAATTATCCGGAATGACGAGTATCTTAGATGTTGCCCGGGGATATAAGGTACCGCCATGCAAAATTTCATTTAAATCGGTCCATTAGATTTGGATTTTAGCCTGTACAAAAAGACAGACAGAGAAACAAAAATTTGATAGAAATCTAGATTTGTTTTATTTGTCTTCGTACATCCCCCTGACTCGGTTTTTAGCATTTTTTTTCTATGTACAGACATTCGATCTCTACAGTTTTATTATAGTATAGATGTGAGTAAGCTCGGGGTTGCGTTGTTTTAATACAGAGTCCCTCGGCCACTTTTCGGATCCATTATCAGATTAGCTGCATGACATAATAATAATTTGTAAAACCAGGAAGTGGATCATATTTAACTTGCTAGATTTGATATAAAGCAGACAGACAAAGGGACAGACGAAACAAAATAAAAATTTGTTAAAAGATTCATTGTATATTTTATTTCCGATATTTAATCAATCTTAAAGTTGTGCATCGACTTAAAATTTACTTTTAAAAGAATAATTATTTAAGTTACAAGTGCAGCTTTTTCTTGATATTGGCGGAGATATTGCGTAATATAGGAAGGTATACTCAAAAATTCGAATCGAGTACTTTCTTTTTTGAAGTCAACTAAAAGTAGAACTGAGTGTATACTAAATAACTATTAATATAAACAACAAATTACTGTATGAAAATTTGTTAAACAGACGGTGGAAATGGGGGTCCATTTTAGCCATTTTGCTGTTACGCAAACCGAATATAATAATAAAAATAGAATAATAAATAATTATTAATGAATATAATATCTTTTTTTTTACTGTGGGATTAAAAATAACAAAACAAAATATAACTGATTTCCGTTAAAATGAATCGAAACGAGTAGCTTATAGTCATGCCAGGGAACAAATTAATAATATCAAATGATAGTTAAAACATTTACATAGATTTGCTCTTCTACGTGACAATAGTGAAGTAAATTATACCCACAAACGGTACTCCTAAAAGCCACTTCAACAATTAATTAAAACACACCCCATTGAATTCGTTTTGCTCTGAACCAGGGGTAGTTAACATTCCTTAAATTATTTTGGCTTTCTTTCTTCCCTTATTTATATGAATATATTACAATATCGCTTTGTAATGTATTTGGCTATTCTGGAAAATATGTACAAAGAAAATAAGAAATAGAAGAATATCGTGAAACGAATGGTAAGCTACTAAGAATACTGTTAGCATGCAGTTTGTGTTGGCGTCAAAATCTAAACATATAAAACCTTCTAGGTATCAATAAAGCGAATAAATTTCAAACAATAATTTGATCATATTATACAATATAGTAATGTAAATGTGGGAAAAAGTTTAGTTAAAACACAACAACTACACCCTTTACAATAAAGACATATATTTTTCTCTCTTTCGTTTTGAATTGAATAGAAGGCAATAGATTAGTTGTTGTATTAATGTAAAATATAAATAGAAATAAAAGAATCAAATATGTTGTATTAAATTTTATTTAATACTTTTTAACAGTTACTCACACATACTTTATGACAATAATTTTTATAGGATACTCTTAATATTATTAAATGAAATCTATTAATGATGAGAAAGAGTATAATGAGGTTCACTATGATGTGCAGGCTGTACGTGGGTTGATGGCCCGGAGTTGTGTACTTCAGCGTTGAATCTGAAAGATATATAACTTATATTAAATACATTCTTACAAGATAGAGAGTACAAAGGTAAAACATCCCTAAAGTATTTTACAACGTAATACTGTCAACTCAAACAGAAAACATATGTATACAATACAATAAAATTAATGATTATTACCCGCTGTGGTGGTCAGCATTGTAGTGTACAGTGCGCACTGAACCATCAGGCTCATGTAGACTGTAGTAGCCGGTCACGTGGTCGCCGTCACGGGCTTCTTGCTGGGACTTGATATCTCCAGTATGGTGATCTTCTACGCTGTATTGGAACTCGTACTTAGGGTGTGACTGTAGAAACAAAAATATATTTATTAGACAAAAATGTAAAAGTTAATGAAGAAAATTATAATTGTATAAAGTTTCAAACGAGTTTCTTACGTGGTACTCTTCATGTCCATGACCGGACTGTCCTTCGTTGTGGTAGTTGCTAGAATGTTGAATGGGGGCAGCGTGGTGTACGATAGGAGAAATGTGTTGAATGGCAGGAGCAGCATGATGTACGACAGGAGCAACATGGTGTACGACTGGGGCGGCGTGATGTACGACCGGGGCTGCGTGATGTACTACTGGGGCAGCGTGATGTACGACCGGGGCTGCGTGATGTACTACTGGGGCAGCATGATGTAGAATTGGAACTGGCACAGCTTGGTGAACGGTAGAAGCGTGGTGTACGATTGGTTGTATATGATGCACAGTAGGTTCTGAGTGGTATGCAGGAGCAACGTGTTGAATTGTTATTGGTTCATGGACAGGAGCTGGTTGAACTGCAATAGGATGATGATACGCCGACTGATAAGCAAGGGGTTGTTGATAAGCATGTTGGTTTTGCGTGACTTCGTGTCTAATAAAAGATTGCGAAGATGTAGCGTGTCCATGTGAGTCATGTTGAGCGTTTACTGCTAAAAGCGCAGTTGTGAATAAAAATATCTGAAAAAAAAATGAATTAAAATATAAGAAGAAAGTAACTAAATCAAGAGATTCCAAAAAAATAATAATAATAATGAAATATAAGTCTATATTAGAATAAGAATGTTTAAATAATAATATTTTTAAGAAAAAAAGAATTTCCGAATAAATTGTAGGTATAAAATATTTACTTTAGAGATCATCGTTGCTGTATATGATTGTGAACTTCGCAAGTGAATGATAATAATTTCATTCAGTGGATGCTTTTTATATTCTTTCTTAAGATCTCGTTTTGGTGTGACAAGTTATGAATAAGTGGTGAGTACTTAAATTTGGCAATAAGTAGGGTAAAAAACTCGTTTGGAGAATGTTCTGTTCATATACAAAGGAATATTTTGAAATATATGTATCAACTTTGTTTAATTAAATAAATAATTAAAATTAAACAGAAGAACCTTCGCCAACCCTTAATCAATATTCAACCCTTAGTCCTAATATATACCGCTTCACAAAATTTAGCGTATTAAAAATTACACTCCTTTAAACATCCGTAAGAAGGTAGTGATTGTAAAAAAAAATCTATATCGGATACGCCATAAAAACCGCCGTGCCTCTCAATATACATACCATCTTCGTACCGCTGACTCCTCTAAAATTTTTATACAAATTTATCGCACATTTCAAAAATATATACTACAATATCAAACTCTTTGGTTTATATTCGACTTTATATTTGTAATACCAATATTTTAATGATTTTCATATAATTTTTTTTATTTTTACCTCTAATCTTAAAACATAAAAATTGAGCAAGTGCGAATCTGACTCACGCATCGAGTGTTCCGTACTGCTGATTATTGTATTGTTTTTTTTGCTAACATATTTCGTAAGGTTAACACTAAAATATTTTCATAATACATATTTTATCGAATGAAAAAATAGGTGTTTTTCAAAATATTATTTCTTAAAGATATTATTGAAAACCAAATGATTCCCATAGTATCTCAAAAGCTACTTTACGTATTTTCTCCAAAGTACCATTTTTTTTCGGATTTACATATATTCATTTTAAAAAGTTAAAGGATCTGACAATCGGATTGATCGGGTTATTAATAATAATTAAAAAATAATCACTTTAATAAGGGATCAAATAAAAAAGTTTATAGGAAACGTATCTTAATTTTAAAGATTAATATTTTGGCTTGATAATTAAGTAACTTCTTTAAAATAAAACTGTCTCATTTTTAGCTTATATCATTAACTATATGAATAATTTTGAGAGGTCAAAAACATTAGTCTCTACCGTCACCACGATCATTTGAAACGTTGGGAAACAAAAATCAAAATTAATTCGCAAAACAAATCGGAAAATATTGTTAAATTTCACAAAATGTCAAAGATACGCGTAAATCTAAAAAAATATTAACTTACTTTCATGCCATTGTCGGTAAATTACACTCTAATGTGGGTAAATTATTATTTAAAAAATTACCATTTCATTTATTATTTCATTAATATAGGAGATTTTCCTGTAGTAAAAAGTAAACTGTATGTTAATTCGAAGAGTATATTATTATGTTGACTCGGATTATATTATGTTGTCACCATATTTAATATTGATGAAATTCGTTCATTATTTTATACATTACTAGCAGAACCCGCGGCTTCACTCGCGCTAAAACTACAAAAAATACTCTTAAAATGGTAGGTTTCATACAAACTTTCATCCGCTATTTTACACTCTTATGGGATGAATTTCGAAAAATGCTAAAACACGTATTTAATTAATTGTACTGAAGAGCATTAATACCAAGTTTCAAGTAATTCCGATCATAATTTTTTTTGATTGTATTATAACGTGTTCTCCCGTGGGAAAGAGATAATCTCGCGTGGTAAAAAGTAGCCTTTGTCACTCTCCAGCCCTCCAACTATCTCCACACAAAAAATCACGTCACATCGTCAAGCCGTTTCGACGTAAAAGAAAGACAAACAAACAAACAAACACATTTTCACATTTATAATATTAGTATGGATTTATAGTAGTTTTTAATAGTTTTATGTAATAAATCATAAAATTTTTGTATGCATGACAAGTCGGCCGAACAAGTTATTTGTTTTCCTTGGGGAATGAGAGATTTTTTATAGTAAAACGTAAATTAAATGATGATTCGAGTAATAAGTTATTGCAGCACGAAGTTTATTTAAAATTCGTTCAGTAGGTACTTGTTGCGCTGATCCTGCGATGCCCCATTAAGACGAGGGAGGTTCCGTTGGATTTTAGTAGGTAGTACTGTAACGGTAGGTAGCCGGTAAGTCCCAAGCCTCGTGCTTAAATGCATTTCCCAAAGTTAAAAAAAAGGTACTTGTTGCGTGAAAAGTTAACAGAGAAACGGACATACAGGCAGACAAAAATTACAACATCTATTGTTTTTGTGCCTATATTCTGTACATAATATAAAAAAATCATGTAGGTCCAAATTTTGTTTTGTAACTATTTTATTACATACATAATTGTTATACATAATTAGGTTGTTACACATTACATTCATTTGTCGGAATCGGTGCAAGTATTTAAACATCGTCTTAAAAAATACAATTTATCCCTATAAAAATTCAAAAATGGCAGCAAACTACCTTACAATATTTGTTGATTTTTATTTCTAAATATTTAAAAAATAATAATAAGTATTATAATTAAATATAGCAATATTAAATTGTCAAATTAAAATACATTTTGAATTGCATTCGAAACGTCGGGAACCAAAAATCAAAATAAATCCGCGAAATAATCCGAAAAGATTTAATAAAACCCTATAAAATTGTTAATATCTATGTAATAAACTATGTTTTCGGTTTAGTTTCTCTGCTTTTTCCCTTTGTGTGTTTGCCTTACATTATAACACGCAACTCTACCATTTCCCTTCTAAAATAGGTTGCCTGGAAAAGATCACTTTAAGTAATAAGGCCGCCTATACACTGAAATACTTTATATTTATATAGCTTTTATGTATTTATTACTTTGTCATATTTTTAATGTAGTAAAAGATATTTAAACGAGTTTATAATAGTAGTACTCTGTGTATGGAATATAGAAAAAAAAGTGTAATTATCCTTTGTAACTATCCATATTTTGAATAAATAACTAGGTATATTATTCCCTCCACAACCGCAGACGCGCCGGCGTTACAGTTAACAATAGATTTCTTAGAAGTTTACCTGGAGGTGTTAAAATTTTCATATGTAGGTATAAAAATTTAGTATTTTATAATGAATAATAAATTAAATTAAGCACGTAGTTTTATACTTTTAGTAAAAAGATAAAATCTGTGAGTTTGTATTTTTGTATGTAGATAATTCCCAGAACTTCTAATCCAATTTTAAAAATTCATTTACTGATAATATAATAGATACGAGCAGCTTTTTCAAGCCTTGTAAGTGATAATGTTCTATCATATAATTATGTACCAGGGTTAGCAAATACCTATAGAATTGGCTTTTAAAACTTTTAAAAAAGCATTTTCTTGTCGCAGATACATTGAATTTCATTATATTTAACATAGAATGACATGAAAGGTCTATATTAAATCCATAAAATTTGGTTTTATGTTATCTCAACTCTTTTTAAAAATAATATATTTTTAGAGAGGATTAAATGTAATTTATATACTGTTTATTTCACATAACATAGTTTATTATTATAGTAAATAACCTATAGCATAGATATTTCATTTAAATATTATAATTAATGATGATATGGAGCATGTTGTGGAGCATGATGTACAGGCTGGACGTGTGTGGAGTGTCCCTGATGTTCTACATTAGCATTGAATCTGTGGATAACATAACAATCAACATAAATTCCATATTTTAAATTAAAAAACATAAATTAAAATTAAATATTAAAATATTTTACCCATTATGATCGTCAGCGTTGTAGTGCACGATGCGCACAGTGCCGTCGGGTTCGTGCAGGCTGTAGAAGCCAGTTACATGGTCTCCATCACGCGTCTCGTGCTGAGACTTGATGTCTCCGGTATGGTGGTCCTCCACGTTGTATTGGAACTCGTATTTAGGATGAGCCTAATAAGCAATATATAATAAAAAAATGACATTCTGATATAATTTATTAGTAGTATTTTTTATTGTATTTATTCCTAGCGTTATTTGAAAATGGCAATTCGTGAAGCTTATTTCAATTGCAATCTCGTGCTTTTATATTATAATGAACATATACATACGTAGTGCTCTTCGTGTCCATGTGAACTGTGCTGGTGATATTGAACGGGTTGATGGAGTATGGGTGCAGAGTGGACGGCGACTGGCTGGACGTGGTGGTAGCTTGGCTGGCTGTGTGAGACCTCGTGATGGATGACCGATTGTGAAGACGTAGCGTGGCCCTGACTGTGATGCTGCGCGTTTGCAGCTAACACTGAGGCGGCAAAGATGATTACTACCTATAAAATCAAACCCAATAAAAGTTTAATATACTTATTTATATTGACAAATTGTTTCGTTGTTCAGTTAACAGTCTAGTTATCTCTGGCATTACCTTTGTAAACATTTTAATGCTGTGTGGATTATACCTCAGAACAGAATGGTACTTATTCGAAATTATTGCAACCTTTTATATATGTTAATTTTGTCTTGCTTACTGGTTTGAAATGTATTAATTAAAAATTCGATACATTACCATAACAATTGTATATATTTGGAAACTTGATTATTTCGGGCAACTACTACCATTCACTCACTAATACGTATGACTTATAATCATGTTTGTTAGTTTAGGTTACGTTTGCGTTTTTTTAATATCTAACCATGCTATGAATAGGCATAAAATGATACAAACATATAATTCACATTAACGAATTCGCTAGTGGATATTGATTAAAGTCAATAGACCTCTAGATTTGTGACTCACGTGTCTCATTTATCACATGTTTTTGATAGATACTATATTACAAACCCACGCGAACTTTTGCATAACAATTTACTAAAGATCTATCGATGTCGTTGAGCACAAATTAACTCTTCATGTCAACGGGGTCGTATATGTAGGTACTGAGGTTCGAGCTACGCAAGAAGCGCCTTTCGTAGATCAGAGCTATAAAATTACCATCTCACCTTGTGACGCTGACATGATCAATGGAACCATCAGTAGGTAATTCTGATGACTCGAAAGTAATCATCGCAATAAGAAATATTTAATTTTTGGTAGGAGTGGTGATAGAAGGTAGGGTCTTAGGTCAATTAGGCATGAACGCAAAATACGTTATCGCGATATACGATCCAGTTACACATAGTTAATCTTACTTGTTTATCCATACAGCTTTTAAATGTAAAGTTTTGATGAAATTACCATAACCAGATAAGGTTACCGATACCATTAACCATATGAATGTATCTTATAAGATAGTGGAGAAGATTATAGTGTATACAATGTTCTTAAACTAGAACGTATAACTTTTTAAAGTTTTATTTGAACTGTAATAATAATAATAAATACTCTTTACTTTACACTCACATGAGAAAAAAAATGTACAAAAAATATATAAAAAGAGCTATGTGTAAGAAACGACCTTTTTGCTAAAACAGCGATCTTTTCCAGGCAACCTTAACTGTTGAACTGTAAAGATTGCTATTAGCTAAAGTTAGTTAAAAGAAGGTACGTTACTTTAAATTTTGACACTATAAGAAAAGGATACTTATCTAACTCAGATATGGCTGGTTTTTATGTCAACTTAAAATATTTAAAAATATCTTTTTTTTGTTACCAAATGATAGCAAAAAAATAAAACCCTCCTAGTCTAAAGTACACGACACCTTTTTCTTAAAGGTAAAGATTAAAAAAAGTTGGGCGTCTCGTCAGAATGAAGCCACTCATGAAGTTTCAGTATGTTATTAATCATTGAGAAAAAGGCCTGGTATACTGTAGACTTGATAGATTCCTTTTAGCGTAAGCGTAAAAGTTGTAGAGCGACTGAGAAATAGCAAGTGAATTTTAATTACATAATATTAAAATAAACATAATATTTCAAGCTTCCAAATACGTACGTTCATATTTGTAACTCTTAATCAATATGATAATAACCTGTTTGTAAAATAATATTAATATGTATAAAAGGCTGTAATAATTTCAAATAAGTATCATTCTCGATACTCGAGAACTGCTGTGATAATATCAATATGTTTACAAAGGTAAGATATAACTAGTGCAATTAATTAAATAATTAAAAAAAAATTAGACATAAAAAGAATATATACCTATTATTATTGGTAGGTCATCGTCTTTGCCGTCGTAGTGCTAGCTACAAATGCACAGCATCACAGTCAGGGACACGCTACGTCTTCACAATCGATCATCCATCACGAGGTCTCACACAGCCAGCCAAGCTACCACCACGTCCAGCCAGTCGCCGTCCACTCTGCACCCATACTCCATCAACCCGTTCAGTATCACCAACAGAGTTCACACGGGCATGAAGAGCACTACGTATGTATATATTAATTAGAATATAAAATCTCCAGATTGCAACTGAAATAAGCTCCTCCACAAATTGCCATTTTCAAATAATGCTGCGAATAAATACAATGATGAATACTATTAATATATTATATTATTTTTAATTATATATTGCTTATTAGGCTCATCCTAAATACCAGTTCCAATACAACGTGGAGGACCACCATACCGGAGACATCAAGTCTCAGCACGAGACGCGTGACGGAGACCATGTAACTGGCTTCTACAGCCTGCACGAACCCGACGGCACTGTGCGCATCGTGCACTACAACGCTGACGATCATAATGGGTAAAATATTTTAATATTTAATTTTAATTTATGTTTTTTAATTTAAAATATGAATTTATGTTGATTGTTGTGTTGTCCACAGATTCAATGCTAATGTAGAACATCAGGGACACTCCACACACGTCCAGCCTGTACATCATGCTCCACAACATGCTCTATATCATCATTGAATTAAATTTTATATTAAATAGATATATTTTTGTAATTATGTAATAATCAACTTTACTATAACAATAAAAAAATATGTTTAAAAGATATGCAATTATTATTACTATAATAATAAACTAATAACAAACCCTTATATTAAACGCATATGTACGTACGTAATTAATAAATAAAAGTTGAAATAAATATAATAAAGATTATTCGATTTATAAATTATGTATATATGTATTCATAAAAAACATGAATGAATTGGTAAGCTAAATAAAATTTAGTTTAGATGACACGGTTGAGGTGAATTAAAATAATATATTTATTTGTCTTGTTGCCTACAATTTTTATAATTTGCTAAAATTTCCTTTGCTAAAAACCTAAATGGCTGAGCTGATGTTATCTTTAACGGGAAAGCATTTCGGGAAATAGTTGACTTATATTAAGAGGCTTTCCACGGTAGAGAAGTTAATATTTTTAGAGCAAATTTGAAAATATCAAACTTACTTGGTAAAGAGATTTAATGTGTATTGGTAGACCGTGCACGTGAGTATAAGGACATAATGAATCTTGATATTAATAAATGATAATAAATAATATAATTTAAATACTCAAAATTTAGATTTTAAACAAGAAGAAAGAAATCTTTATCTAACACGTTATTAGGCATAGAAATATTTGTAAAGCCTCACGTGATTAAAAATCCCTTAAGTAAAAATATAATAGAAAACAATTTTCATATTTCTGACTTAAAAAAGGACAAACTTTTATCCTTTATTTAACCCGCTTTTTAAAAGTTTTACAAATTTTAATTTTGTGACCATCCTCGTCACATATGTACGTAATATAAAGAATTATTTTTGAAACTTCGTGCTTATACATTTCAGAACCAGCGACTTATTTTAGATTAGTACAATATTAAAATATATTTCATAATATATTAACATCATTTTATAATTTTACACCGTAAAATAGCGGTCTTTACAGTTCCCTGAACAGGGGAGAGCTATATCTTGGTGGTAGTGGTTTGCCTCGGTAGAAAGCCGTCGCACATGAAGACGGAGTAAGTTCGATTAAGTATTAAGGGGTAGTACCTACTAGTTTTTTCAGCCGGTGAGCTTCGACATAACCACCTATATACATATATAAGTGGTATGCATGAATGCATTTCTTAACGTTAAAATAAGATATAGCACCCTCCATAACACTCACTTCAACTCTGAGAATCATATCAAATCGCTGCTCCGTTGATAAGTAAAAGAAAAACATGCTACGCACGCTTTTACAATATTTTTAACATTGAAAATGTTTTTGTCGCTTCAGTATAGGCCTGATTTTCAACGACGTCGTGGATTTTGGGACAACGTGGTTGATCGGGATGTTAAAGAATGCGTCTGAATGGGGGCTACAAAATGCAAAAAAAATATTTGCAAACACTCAAAGGCTTTATTTAAAAATCGAAAAAATGTGAAAAATTCAGTTGCTTTTCGCTCGGTTTCGGTCAGAAAAAAAAATTTCTCAAAATGAAATAAGATAAGAAAAAATAAAAAAAACCCTGGAGCTGAGGCTTCGGACTATATTTTAAAAAATATTGGAGGTGCATATCACTGATGGGTTATTCAGAACTTGTACCTTTGTGACGCTGAGTTTACGCGAGGTGAGTGCGTGAGCGCGATAATGACGGTGAATAAATGTGTTGAAGCATGATTTTGTTTTTGAACCGAAGTGATTCTTTGTAAATAAATATGTATCTAACTGACAGTTACCCTAACTGACAGTTACTCTTACTAACAGTTATAAAAACTGACAGGTAAACAAACAGACGGTTAAACTAACTGACAGTTAAGCTAAAACGACAGTTAATCTAACTGGCAGTTAAGTTAACTGACAGTTAAACTAACTGCCAGTTAAGTTAACTGTAAGTTAAAGTAACTGTCAGTTAAACTTACTGACAGATAGACTAACCGGAGGTTAATTTAACCGACAGTTAAATTAACTGTCAGTTAAACTTACTAGCCGTTCATAAAACTGACAGTTAATCTTACTGACAGTTACCCTACCTGACAGTTAGCCTTACTGACAGTTATAAAAACTGACACTTAAACAAACAAACAGTTAAGCTAACTGACAGTTAGTCTAACTGGCAGTTAATTTAACTGACAGTTAAACTAACTGCCAAATCAGTTAACTAGCAGTCAATCTAACTGACAGTTAATATTTCTAGCCGTTTTTCAAACTGACAGTCAGTGTAACTTACAGTTAACCTTACTAGCCGTTTATCAATTTGACAGTCAACCTAACTGACAATTAAAAAACTGACAGTTTAACTCACTGACAGTTAATAGTCAAGTTTTATAACTGTCAGTAAGGGTAACTGTTAGTTAATTTAACTGTCGGTTAGATTAACCTCCGGTTAGTCTGACTGTCAATAAGTTTGACTGTCAGTTTCTTTAACTGTCAGTTAGGTTGACTGATAGTTAGTTCATCTGGCAGTTAGTGTAACTGTCAGTAAGTATCACTGTCAGTAATGTAACTGCCAGTACGACTAACTGTCAGTTTTATTAACGGCTATTAAGTTCAACTGTCAGTTAATTTAACTGCCAGTAAGTTAACTGTCAGTTAGCTTGACTGTAAGTTAATTTAACTATCATTTCGTTTTACTGTCAGTTTGTTTAACTGTTAGTAAGTTTAACTGTCAGTGAGTTTAACTGTCAGTTTCTTTAACTGTCAGTTAGGTTGACTGATAGTTAGTTCATCTGGAAGTTAGTGTAACTGTTAGTAAGTATCACTGTGGGTAATGTAACTGCCAGTAAGACTAATTGTCAGTTTTATTAACGGCTATTAAGTTTAACTGTCAGTTAATTTAACTGCCAGTAAGTTAACTGTCAGTTAGCTTGACTGTAAGTTAATTTAACTATCATTTCGTTTTACTGTCAGTTTGTTTAACTGTTAGTAAGTTTAACTGTCAGTTTGATTTACTGTCAGTTACGTTAACTGTCAGTTAGATTAACTGCTAGTAAGATTAACTGTCAGTTAATATAACCGTTCATTAAAATCAAAACATTATTCTAAAAATTAAAAATAAAAAACCAAGAAAAAGTTAAAAACCGAGTTTCTGTAAATATCTCGAAAACTTTGAGGTTATTGTAAAAAGTGTTGTTTATAAAAGTTGTAGTTTTTTACTAGACCTACAACTTTTGAACTATACCTACATTTTTCGATAGAACGTCACAGTAAGCCAGAAATTGAAAAAAACTATATTTCAACGCTTTGCGTCCTCCCATTTCTCGGGGGTAGCTGGGTATCGGTGGCATTTTACGAATTTCAATTCCTTATACCTGCTAACATTTTAAAATCATAAAACTTCAGGTTTACAATACTTTGTTTCCAAACCGGATTCCGATTGGACTAATTAGAAAATATGAGTAATCTATACATACATACATATAATAAAATTGTAACTAAGCCGAATCTGTACATTAAATATTTTTTGGAAAATATTATTGAAATAGACACTTTTATCGATTTATAGGCCGAATCTATAGTTTTTAGAATTTTTGTCAGTCTGTCTGTCCGTCTGTCCGTCCGTCCGTTATTCCGTCCTTCCGTCCGTCTATCTGTCTGTCTGTTACCGCATCATAGAAAAACCACTGGAGGCATTTTGATGAAATTTGGTATGATGATAGCTGGTTATCCGGGTCAACATATAGGATACTTCTTACAGCGAGAAAATATCTCATCTCTGAGAAATCGATACTAAACGCTAAAACGTAAGTAGGGGCGAACCCGAGTGAAGCGAGGGTGAGTCGCTAGTATACATATATGCTGCACTTTATGGTGATGTGTAAATATTATTTACATCGTTTTTTGTAAAGTATTATCTAGTAAAGTGTACTTTATAAATCTTCATACGTAGTACCACCAAGAGATTTAGGTTTCTAAGAAGCATTTTAAGAAGATAATATAACTATTATTAACAAAATAATTCACTCAAACTATTTCAAGTTTTCAAATACATAATAATATTATGTTAGTACAATTATTATAACTTTATCAAACAATAAAGCAAAATAATGAATTTAATTTAAAAGCTACACAGATATGAACACTCATAAAAGTATCTATCAAATGCAATATATTAGGGGCAGATTTTTTTTACTTAAATGGGACCTCTATATTATATACTACACAAATTGACTGATTTAGTATGAACTAGTGCTTAGTAACTAACACACAAAAAATATACACAAAATAGAGTATCCTATTTATTTATGAAGTCAGTTGACAAATTCAAAGAAAAGATTGTGTCTTATATCGTAAATATTGTAATAGACCAGATAGTATAGAGTTAACCACTATAAATGAAATTGCTTTTATATAAAAATTAAAACGATTTTAAATTTAGAAAGTAAATATGTACTTTCATTATTTCGTAAAGGTTTTGTTTTTACCCCGATAAATCGATAAAACATATTTTACATAAGACGTAATTCCAAAACTTGTTTTAAAACTAGGTACCCTTTTCATTTTTTATAAAGATAATATTGCTATAAAAGCTACAATTTTTGTAATACAATTATCATTCGCTTGCGAAGTTCACCAAATAACACTTACGGAGTAAACATGACTTCTAAAGTAAGTTAATTTAGACAAACATTATTTATTTTGACAAACATTATAATTCGATTTTTTTTATTTTAATAATATTTTTTAATAATAATATTTCACGCCTTTACAAAAAGTGAACTTTAAATAGTTATTTTTATATAAATATTGTTTTTATTTTACAGATTTTTGCCGTGTTGGCTTTATTGGCAGCGGTAAATGCTCAGCACCACTCAAGTGGTCATGCTACTTCTTCTCAATCAATTATTCATCATGACATCTCCCATAATGGGCACGGGCACGGGATTCAGGCCGTTCCAGTCGCTTATCATCATGCACCCATCGCCCACCATGCTGTCCCAATAACCAATTACGCGTCCAATATTCACGTTCCTTCTATCTCGCATCACGCTACTCCTGCCATTTCTGTTCATCACGCCGCTCCCGTTGTTTATCATTCCGCTCCTATTCATAACCAACATGGATCTGGTTACGAACATCAAGATTACCACGTAAGTTGACTTACATAAAAACCAAAGGTTCATTAATCTCATAGTATAAAGCTTCTTTATACTGGTAAGTAAAATCTGAAGCTAGACAAGGTTTAGATAAAAATAATAATATAGGTATTCATTTAAAAAAGTAACGTGGCTAAAATTTAGCCCATTTATCTATAAATGCTACGTAAAATACGCAATAATAATATATGTATTTGTATAGGAATATGTATATTGTATAGCGTATTCTGTATTTACTATATATAGATATTTCAATTATTTCCTATAATTTAATTTCAGAGTCATCCTAAATATGAGTTTGAGTACAGCGTAGCCGACCATCACACTGGTGACATAAAGTCTCAGCATGAAGCCCGTGATGGCGATCACGTGTCCGGTTTCTACAGTCTTCACGAGTCTGATGGCACCGTCCGTACAGTTCATTACAATGTTGCTGGACACAGTGGGTCAGTTCATTTGTCATAAATTTAATTAACAAATAAGTTCACAAAAAATACGAGATGGCGCTATATTATGACATTTCCAGCATGAGATCAGATAGAAAAAGGCTTTATTAATTAGTTAGTTTTTTTCGTGGAAAATTGCGTTATTTTTTTATAAATCAAAATCTTATCTAAATACAAAATTTGATCTTAATCGTTAGAACCATTTCCGAGATACATGAAATAAATTTATATACAAGGATTGTCCATTTAATATTACAAGATTAATATTATAAAATAACATGGAATAAGTAACGGTTTGTCGTTTACTTTTTTTTAACATTTGAATAATAGTCGACTATAACCTAGTACAATCTATATTCCACTGTTTGTAATAAGATTCGCCAAAAGGTGGCGCTGTCTTTATATAATACTAGCAGAACCCGCGGTTTCGCTCGCGCTAAAACTACAGAAAAATTTCAAAAAAGAAGGTTTCATACAAACTTTCATCCCGTATTTTACACCCTTATGGGATGAATTTCGAAAAATGCTGAAATACATATTTATTTAATTGTATTGAAGAGAATTTATTCCAAGTTTCAAGTAATTCTGATCATGAATATTTTTTGAGTTGTATTATAACTTGTTTTCCCGTGGGAATAAGATAATCTCCCGCGGTAAAAAGTTGCCTATGTCACTCTCCAGCCCCCCAACTATTTTTACACAAAAAAACACGCCAATCGGTCACTCAGTTTCGACATGAAAGAAAGGACAAACAAACAAATAAACAAACAAACGAACACTTTCACATTCAATATTAGTAGGAAAAATACACAAGGCACCTAGAGACGCACTTAAACGAAGTAAAGATAAGTCTTTAGTTAGAACCATACTTTGTTAAGTAAAGTTACATTTATAACATTAATTGATTATTATATTATTGTTTTCAGATTCAATGCTCAAGTAGAGCACTCTGGTCACTCAACGCATGTTGAACCTCAACACCATGCATCCCATCATGAAGCCTCTCATTATTAAGATATAGAAAATTATACTGTTTATTATAAAGAGTTAACATCTGCGTAATATCACTTTTTAATCAAATGATTGATATATCTAGTCTTTCAATGCGCATTGTACTTTTTATTAAACTTTATTAAAGATATTAAAATGAAAAGGCATTTTATTTAATATATAACACTGTAAGTAATATTACCTGAATCTATACAGTATTTGGGTTCAATTCCGTTGAAAATAACCAGATGGATGCGGGGATCTGAAGACCGGTTAGTTTGAAAATCTTTGTGAGAGGTCTATTCCTAGTATTAGACGTCTTTTGGCTGATAGGACAGTATTTTTTTTTAAGTTTTGTTTTTTATGATTTATTTAAGTATTTTATTACTTAATTATACTTAGTAAGGTTGCGAATCTGCAATTCTTCACTTCAACAATTAATACATTACTTATAAGTTAAATTTATTAATTAGGTACCTACTGTCCTTCGTATTATATTTTAGTAATATATATTTTTTTTCGGAAACAAACAGTATTACAGAAAATACAATTTACAATAAAAATACACACATTTACCAATTAAGTTTCCACAAATAAGAAACATAGTTAGAGTAGAAAACAGGCTAAATTAAGCAAAAAGTTGACATATATAAATATACACATATAATTAATATACTGTAAACACAATTTAAAGTACATGAAATTATCATGAAAATTGTTGGATTTTCTTGAAATTTATAATAATATTTATTAATAATATACATCCTGACATCTCTCAGGCCTATCTCTTCTCTTCCCTTGGTATACCTATCTACTAATATCATCAACTGGGTAAAAATAGCCTATATTATTCCATGCAATCTGTATAATTTATTGTCATAAAAATAAACATGTACATTTGTTCAAGTACATTCTCGCATTTAAAAAAATAGTAATGTGCCAGCTATTCAATAAATAAAATTAAAATAATTTAATCTAGATAGTGTGGTTAGTATTTAAACAATTATATGAAATATTATGTTTGAAGCATATAACTGTTTCATAGCTAATTTGGTGGAGTGGTCATTGACCTATACAACTGCAAAACGGGTTCGATTCCCACATACAGCAAACACAATATTACAGCAAATATAATATTTTTATGTATAAGTTTTTATATAGTTATCTTTCTTATGTGCGTTTGTAATTTTAGTGTGTTGAATTTTTTTTACCTACCTTTGCAAAAAACTACGTGCTATTTGAAGATGAGGTGAACCGACCCTCAAACTAACGAATTTAAAGATTTATTTATTAGCGTACATTAATTATTTTACACGCTATATTTTCTCCTATCGAATTAACTACGTATACATGCATAAAACAATGCGTCAGCAGTTTCATTCATTCAAGATACAATCTTATGAGTCCATTAACCTCGAGTAAACGCTGTCTTCCGTCTCGTCCTTTCACTGTCTAAATTAAACTACGTTTTCAACATAACTCTGGCTAGACTAACCGCGTCTAAATGTATTATTTAGATCGTACGTGGTATAATTGCCAATTGTATATTTAACATGATATTATTGAAACTGGAATACTTATGTATGAAAATTTGAGCTCACTTGTGTGAAAGTGAAAATAAACAATCTTACGAATTGACGTTTGTGTTTTATTTTCATATCATTAATTTTCTCATGAATAATCCTAGGAAATTATATTGAGCTTGATTAATAACACCTACGAATACTTTTTTCATTAAAAAGGTTAAAGTTATTGTATTGATGATGATGATGATGATCGTTGACAGGGATCGCAGATATTAACCCTAGACTAGTTAAAATACCAGTACAATTTCAAATCGCCAAAAAAACGCGCATTGTTAATAATAATGTTCAAAAGATTCGGAAAAAAATATATTTGCTGTGTAAGATAATTTTGTTTTTAACACAAAAAAATTAAAGGCAATCAAATAAAAGATTAAATTAGAATTAAATGAATATTATAATATCAATTTTTACACATATAGTAACAATGACTAAAAACATTAATAATTTAAATTTCAGTTTTGAATAAATAACAGTTAAAATTAATTTTCGTGATGACTCTTAATATGAACGTGCTGACCAGGTGCAGAGTGCTTGACAACAGCGTTGAAACTGAAAAATTAAAAAAAAAACTCAACCTATACTAATATTATAGAGGTAAAGTTTATAAGTTTGTGAGTTTGTGAGGTTGTAGAGGATAATCTCTAGTTTTACTTAACCGATTTAGATGAAATTTGCCAAGAAGTTAGTTTGAAACCCTGAGAAAGTACTTTTTATCCTAGAAATCATCCCTTAAGGGGGTGACAAATGAGGATAAAAGTTTGTATTTAGAATCAAGCTAGGGACGAACCCGAGCGAAGCGAGGGTGAATCGCTAGTATTTTTATAAAGCTACATAATGTCTTATATTGTTATTAGTTAGATGTTATTATGTAATAACAAATCTGTTTTGTTCTTATCAGTAGAAGGAAAAGTTTTTAATTACCCATGATGTTTGTCTGAACTATATTCGACTGTCCGCACGGAGCCATCAGCTTCATGAAGTGAGTACACTCCCTTTACGCTGTCACCATCGCGGACTTCGTGTTGGTATTTATTATCTCCAGTATGAGGATCTTCTACTTTGTATTCATATTGGTATTTAGGATACGCCTGTTATAATGGGAATAATGAGCTTACTATTACATAACAAAACATTATCAAAGATAGATACGGTTTGATACACTCGTTTGTGATTAAAATGGATAACTGCGATACGAATAAATGAATAGAAAGTTGCAATAAAATTAGTTCCGGATGTAAGTTAACTTAGGAAATTAACATATTTTAACTTACGTAATAGTCGATAGGCTCATCGTGGGAATGAGATTCGGTCTGGTGCTGTGCTTCGACTTGATGGTGTGAAGGGGCCTGATGCTCAGATTCTTGGACGTATTGGTAGTTATGGGCAGGTACGCGGATGTAATGAGCTTCATCCCGAGCTGGACCCTGAGCAGATGAAGCCTCATGAGAGACGGCAGGGTGACGCAGGGACTGGATATACTTAATGTTACTTCCTTGTTCATGTTTTATTTGTTCGTGCCCTTGAATGTAATGCTTGTAAGCAATTAATGGCTCATTATGTCCCACATAGGACTCCTGTGATTGGGTTTCTTCGTGTCCTGCTGGCTGGTAGTGAACAATGCTTTGAGATGAAACCGCAGATTCATGACGTCCATGTACTGGAATTTCTACTGAAGCACCATGTCCTTCTTCTTCGTGAATAGGTGCAGGTTCCTGATTAATCAAATCGAGGGTTGAAGGATATCTATACTCCTTTAATTGTTCACGATGGGCTGGCTTATATTTATATATACGTTCCTGGCCGTAGCACGCAGTCACGGCGATGGCAAGAATTAAAATCTGTAAAGATATTTATTGTTAAAATTTAAAAATTTCAAAAGTGAAATGTATAAGTATAAGATTATGTTAAACGCACTTTAGCTATCATGTTGATCTTTCTTCTAAGACTTCCGCAGTGAAACTGATGAATTAGCAATGGTTTAAACCTTAATATATACTGGAGACGTTACGAGAAAGAACTGAATCAATCTGTTACCGCTCGGGGCGTCAAATTTGTAACCCAACGCACGCGCACTGTTTTCTGACGTAATTTACGTAACCAATGTGAAGGTTGGTATTCCGCTTCGTTTTAAAGGCACTGAAAAATTGAAGAATATACGAATTTTTAGTACTAGCTTTGTTTCGTTTCATTACTTACAAAATTTATGATGAAATTTAATTGTTATTAATCAGAAAAATATTTCATTTAAAAGATATAGATTCAGAAAGTTAAAACTTTAGAACATATTTTTTACATTTAAAACTCAATTCACCTTGTCAAAACTCAATAAAGTTATTACATTTTATAAATTAACTAGCATTGCCCGCGGCTCCGCCCGCGTTCAGATGACCAAAAACCAAACTCTTAGGTTTTACATATTAGTATACTCTTACATTGCAGTTTTTGTATTTTTTCTCAGAAATGAGACATTTTCCCGCGGTAAAAAGTATTCTATATTTTGACCCGGATGACCAGCTATCGCCATACCAAATTTCATCAAAATCCCTCAATGGTTTTTCTGTGATGCGGTAACAGACAGACAAACAGACAAAAATTCTAAAAACTACAGATTTGGTCTCTGCATCGATAATAATGTTTATTGCAATAAGATTTACATGTATGTATGTACAGAAATTTCGTCTTAGTTACAATTTTATTATATGTATAGATATTTGGTAATTACTTATTTGAAGCACAAAGCAAAAAATGTACTCTATGTGATGAAAATAAGGACTATTTTTTAATTCTAATAAAATTACTTTGAGTCGAGTTTTAATTTCTTTTTTACATAAAAACAGTAAAGAACCCTGTCAAATTGAGGTTTCTAAAACTACCACTACATACAAAGTCAATATTAGTATTCAGATTTAACGTAGATCTAGTTTTCTTTGCATCTTAACTTAACGGTTTAGAAACTTGCTGTCTGATTACGATAAAATACTTTAAAACGACCAAAGCATTAACATCGTATAAAAGATGTCACATATATTACTAGCAGAATCTGCGGCTTCACTCGCGCTAAAACTACAAAAAGAACTAAAAAGATAGGTTTCAAGAATATAATAGAACAAACAAACACACTTTCACATTATTTCAGCAAATTTTATTTATTTTAATAATTCTATATTATACTCTTAGTTCTTTAGTTTTGAACTAAAAAAAATTATATGTACATCATAGCCATAGGTACATATTTAGGAATCGATCTCTGGACTTTCGGTGAGGGCTTGATTATCTATAGACTATAACTTTTATTTTTATACTGGCGGCTCACCCTCGCTTCTCTCGGGTTCGCCTCTAGAAAAACACAAACACATCTATTCCACGGGAACCGTTAATTTTTCCGGAATAAATTACCTGCTGTACATAAAATTATATTAATATGATAATCATCATTCTTTACGGTAGTTTTAAAGTTTTGTTAATTCAGTTATAAATACATTATAACTGAATTAACTAAGTAGTTATTTTAAATTATAATAGTATAGTCTAACTAAACTATGTACATTTTTATTAAAGCGAATTCAAATACGATTCGGGGCACATTGATATTTTTTAGAATTTTTTTTCGTATATATTTGCTTCCAAACGTTTTAAAGTCTTTAATTGTTTAAATACATGCTTACCATTGCAAATTCAATGAGTCTTCACACGGCAATTTAGATTCTTAACAAATTTTTAACTTATAAGCCTATCCTATACATTTTAATAGGATATGTATACGATTGTTTAAATTCCATAGACTAGCTACATAATTTATGAATTCCGACAAATAAAAACTGCGAGAAACCAGAAAATTTCAAACCCCAAATGATCATGCATGATAATTTTCTTGTAATAATCTTTTACTTATTATTTATATCTTCATTTTAATAATACGCTTCTAATTAGTACGATCAAGGTTCTACGTAGAGTTGTGTGGTGGGTTAGGTTATTCTTGCAAAAGTCGTAAAATAATTAATTCTGGTCTAACTCTAATATGGTATTTCTACTCAAATGCTAACTTCCTAGATTTTAGCTCTGAACCAGACTTGTGGCTTAAATGAAGCATGTATGATTATTTAGTTTGACCCCCAATAGAGACTACGTAAAAAGCTTCTCTCGTTAACTTTGTTACCTAATATTATTTTTTTAGGACTCCACATTGACGACATGTATAAGATATTTTGGATATAGAGACGTGAATATATGAAAAAATCATTCATTTATTTCTAAATCTTGGATTTACAGCCGATCTCGAAACAGCTTATTTTGTGTATTACTTACATATGTACGTGATAATTAGAAGCTTAATATATCCTTAGGGTCACATTCTCTCGAAATAAAAACTGCCCCATATTCTAATGATACTGTCTATCACTAAAGAGCTTAGTGTTTTCAGGCGAATATTATACCTTCTGTACGCGTAATATAGATTAAGCACTTCCACCCTTAAAGAAGTTATCCCCTGCAATTCACACTATACGGCCAATGAGAGCAAGCCAGAGATGGGAGAGAGACAATAGTTTTTTTTTCTGAAGATCTCAAATTGTTATAACTATGGAATACTTAAATTATATATTAGTATTTGTAATTAGTATTAGATTTTATGATATTTAAGTCTATGATTTTTGAGATTTTTTTTTAATTCTTTCCAGGAAACGGAATAAAATATGTAGGTGTGTAACTTAGGAAAGATCTAAAAATATGAAGCTACAATTTCAAATAATGCAAGTATGTACTACGAGTATAATATACCATATACTACAGCATTTTTATATTTTAAAATAATAGTTTAAGATATAAAATGAAATATCTGGAATTTGGGTCAGTAGAGTAATTTCGCTAAAGCAGAACAAAAGCCGGACATGAAAGCTGACAAGAACGCGCAAAAATTAACGGTGAAATGTGTATCGTTAATGTAAATTTACTGAAATAATATAATTAAAGAAAGAATTTATATTTGTACACCAAATTTGTACACCAAGTTGGTATAAGTTGTATTTAATTAATTTTAAGACCACATTTATATGATAAAAGCTTTTGTCACTCACAAGTGAGAGTGTGTTCTTCATGCTTTAACGGCTAGACAGATTTGAATGGAATTCAGAATGTTGGAACTTTAGATCCTTGAACTCTATATTTTTCTTTACTAATGTAGATATGTCACAAGTAGAGCCCCAGCCAACATCTAGTATTTTTATTAATATTCACGATAATGAATACATTAATGTGATATAATTATTTGTTTTATCATTTTAAGCGTAATTATTTAATCTATACTGATGTTATAAAGAGGCAGAGTTTGTTTATGTTTGTTTGTTTGTTTGTCTGTCTGTCTGAACGCGCTAATCTCAGAAACTACTAATGCGATTTGAAAAATTATTTTAGCATTAGATAGCCCGTTTATTACGTTATACGTTTAGATAGCCTCTAAAGCACCAAGCGTTGACATCCAGAAATTATTATCTTAGATATCAAAAGCCTTAATCTTTTCCTTCCTCCTCCTTCATCTTCCTTAGATAAAATCCAAAAAAATATCTTTGCTTAAATGTCAAATATTTGTAATAGTTTGTCTAAAGCTAGTAAAACTTTTACTATCATATTTTCTTCCAAACAAAAGAAGTATAACATCAAAAATAAGTGTAAAAACTTAAACTCGACTACGGATAAAATTGCACTCACTCGAAACAAGGAAATAATTAATGTCTGAAATTCTTATCTACCAACTCCTTATTCATTATATTTATCACGTAACAAATAAATCCGATTCATATTATAAATGCGAAAATTTGGATGAATTTTTGTTACTCAATCACGCCAGAACGGATCTGAATGAAATTTAGCACAGAGATAGATTGTAGTTTGGAACAGCTCATAAGTTAGTTAATTTATGTCCAGTATAAAACCTGAGCGAAGCGATGGTAAATTGCTAGTAATTTATATTTTTTAATTTAACACAGATATAGCTATGTTAAGAAGATAGCCATGGTCGTGGTGAAAAATAAGGTATTTAACACAGATTTAGAGTAAATCTATGGTAGTGTCTAAACAAGCCAAAATTGTTTATATATATTATGTTAAGTATTATTTCTACCTTTCAACTTTCTTTCATTCAACATAAAATGTTTTATTGAAACGATACAATTTCGTGGACAAAAAATGTAAAGACACGATACGTTAAAATGTAAATTATAAATATGATACGAGTAAATACGGTATTCGTTCGCCCTTTATTAGAATAAATCTATACATATAATAAAATTGTAACTAAATCGAATCTGTACATTAAATATTTTTTTGAAATTCTAATTGAAATAGACATTATTATCGATACAGAGTCCGAATCTATAGTTTTTAGAATTTTTGTCTGTCTGTCTGTGTGTTTGTCTGTTACCGCATCACGAGAAAACCACTAGACAGATTTTGATGAAATTTGGTATGAGCATAGCTGGTTATCCGGGTCAACATAAAGGATACTTTTTACCGCGGAAAAATATCTCATTTCTGAGAAAAAAGACAAAAACTGCATTGTAAGAGTATACTAATATGTAAAACCTATAAATTTGGTTTCTGGTCATCTGAACGTGGGCGGAGCCGCGGGCACTGCTAATTATTTATAAAATTGTTTTTTTTTCTGTACATTAGAAATTTGTGTAAACATCCTATAAAATAAAAATTATATATATTATTGTATTGTATTCATCATCATCATCATTCATTTTTGTCGTTCCACTGCTGGGCACGGGCCCCCCTTCAATACAAGGGGGATCTGGTCATAGTCCACCACGCTGGCCAAGTGCGGGTTGACGGACTTCACATGCCTTTCGAAAACTTGCTAGGTTTTCTCAGACATGCAGGTTTTCCTCACGATGTTTTCGCTCACCGGAAGACAAGTGGTAATCATG